CAAGATATGATATAGGGGGTGGGACGGGAACATATTTTGTGGGGGTCACAAAGTGATAACGACTGATAAGAGCAGATAAGAGGCGCTGAAACACAAATTTCACGAAATTCATAGTGCGCTTCGCAGCAGTCGTCAGGAGCTGATTTTGGGACATGATATAGGGGGTGGGACGGGAACATATTTGGTGGGGTACAGAAAGTGATAACGACTGATAAGGGCTGATAAAAGGCGCTAGAACGCAAGTGTCGCGAAATTCATAGCTCGGGCACCAGTGGTCGTCAGGAGCTGATTTTGGGACATGATATAGGGGGTGGACGGCAAACATATTTTGTGGGGGTCAAAAAGTGATAACGACTGATGAGGACTGATATGCATACGAACGTAGAGAGCACTTGAAATAGAAAATAGAGAGCAGATTGTAGATAATGCCTTTCATTTCAATATCATTTCATCAGCGTTGTAATTGTAAACTCAAACACCTTTCGACCGCTACACCTTCTAGAGTTCTTGAGGATGAATGGGATGCTCGAATAAATATGATAATGAATACTAGGCATTCCGTTTTGAGATATTCGACCGCTAAATTACCTCGATACTCGACGCATAGTGGTTGTTTACATCATCACTTTAGCTGTCACTGCGCTTATCAAACAGTGAGATACAGCCAAGAAGCCTATGCAACGGACAGTAATACATTTAACGAAGCAGCTATAATTTAGCGGTGAAACCTAAAGCTTCATCGATTGTCAGTTCTATCAATGCGCGCGGTAGCGGGCGGAGCTAAACTGGTTCCTAAAATGAACGATCGCCTCCAACAATGCCGTTTGCACCAAATTGCGAGCTACTGAAGTAAACAATGAGGCGTACTCATTCGTTAACCATTACTAACTCGAGCGGGTTGTTCCCCTCCCGCGATAGAAATTGGTGAGTTTATTTCCCCGTTCGGGTTCTCGTTGATTAGTCTAGTATTCCGCCAAATACGCTAAGGAGAAGAGGCCGTTGAGCAAGGCCCTCATAGTTTTCGGTGGGAGTTGATCAACAACCTTAGCGCCAAGTGTCCCAATGACCCAATTCGGCGAAACTTGGCATGACTCTGCAGCGGCGGACCACCACCTCTATCCACATCGGCAACGACTTCAGGGAGTTATTTTTCCATACAAAAAATGACACCAACCAATGGAATAGCAGTCTAGAGCAGCTTCACTATTTGGTTCGAAAATCATGAATGTGGTAGGTGAGTACCTGTCAATGCTCCTACCACTCTCACGCGTCTAGACCAGCCAGGTTGTTAGTTAAAGCTGGAGACAAGGCCTCATATGAAATGCCCCACGAGAGCTCTTCTAGTATGAGCGCGCCTCTTTTTGTCTGCAGATACCATGTGACCTGGGACGGTAGTAAAGTGCCCTAGACTGGCAATCAAATGTGGTGATTTACACCCATTGGCGAGGAATAGAGAACGTGGAAACATGGACATGACCCTAGTTGAAACCGCCAGCCTCGCCACACGACCTGCAAAACTTGCGCCCTCTCGGACTTGAGCCCTGGATGGTAGGGCTCATAGCCGGGTTTTTTGCCACTGCACCAGGGATCACTCGACCACACACTGGAAGAGATGTTGATGAAAGGTATGCAATGGATGTTGTTTGCAAATCTTAGTCTCCAAGCGGTGCTGATCCAGCAACCTTGCCAGCGGCAGCGTGGAACGTCCCCATTGAGCCAATGGCAATTTGCCATAGGGAAGTGGTGAGCATCCACCACGTTGCTTGCAAAAGTCGCGTCACACACGGGTTTGAACCTTCGGTGCACCGTCCCATGAGCGGCATCGCTACCACTGCACTATGGAGCCCTTCTTATTGACGGTGAAAGAGTTGTAGAGAAAAGGCAATAACCCACAAAAGTTGCAAAGATTTTGACATCTAGTAGTATCGATCCCGTGGACCGCTCAACACCAACGTGGACCGCAGGCGCTACACCATTGACGAATCAATGCAAGTTGCTTCCCTTTCCCTTTTCAACTTACTGCTTTGACCCACACAGCCTGGCTGTTTGGAGATGGCCATCTCTAAAAAGTCCTCCGGAGGACTTTTTAGAGATGAAGTGGCAGCATGTTTGCGCCCTCCACCGCGCGCGCACTATTTCCTTTTTCTCTGCCGCCATCGCTGTTAGTTTTTGGATGACCACCCTGCTAATCCTCTTACTAGCACGTGATGTCATCCCCCACTTCCGAGTAAGTTCGAACTCACTTCGACCATTCTGACGGGGAATCTTCGGAGGGGTTCCAGAGGTGCTCTACGCATCTTTTAGGGAGACTTCGTTTGGAAGCCATGACCAAGTTACCACGAGCTCATGGTCACATGGTAACTAGCAGTTGAGGCCACTTTACTACCGTCCCTGATCTTGGGGCTAAAGTAAAGAACGTCACGCCTATAGATGCGTCACACTTGCATACATCCACGGCGATCAGATCGCAGAGCGGTTGTATGTTATAGCGTCATAGATTTGCAAAGAAGTTTTCCTCTCTATTCTTAATCTTCACAATTATAGTTATGACAGTTTATTTGAGGAAACCACAAGTCTGAATACTGAGGATTCTTCTAGACGTAGCGATACTCCAACTTGGTTACTGTAGCGTAGATTCGGTTGTAGGTTATAATGGGGACAAGGTTCGAAAGAGATTTGAGTACAGTGCCGGCATCGTCCTTTGAGCAGAACCTAAACGAGGTCCCTAGTAGTTATTGAGTAGTACAGAGATTTTTATTAACATATACATTATTACATGCCTGTAACCAGTGCGACGTTGATCGGCATGTGTTTTGATTTCAACTCCTGCATACGTGCATCCATCAACGGCAATTCCATCAGGGAAGTCCACAAATTTCACTTCAATCTTTTTACCGGCGGCGCCTTGAAATTTAATCTAGACTTTCACTGAATATAATTGCTTTCTAAGAACCATGTACCTTGATCCAATAGTTGCATTTCATGAAATCTTCTCGCGGAGTGAGGCCAGCTTTGCGGTCCTAGATCGTCTACAAGCGGTTTCCAATCCTTGGTCGCCTCTAGTTCTAGCACCGCAACCTGGTGGCTGAAGAAACCGCTCAAGGGATGTCGACGGTTGGATCACAGAAAAGAGCTGTTACCCTTTTTTCGCAGTACTGTCCGCCGTATCCGCTAGGGCAGATGCATTTGGAGCAATCGCGAGGATGAGCAAGTCAGTTGTTTTGGGTAGAGATTGCAGTAGAGGTAGAACCTACCTTTGCATGCATCTGAAACTTTCATCTTTTCAAGCATCGTATAACTTCACCTTGCATGCATCGAAACGTATCCTCGTCAAGCAACTGAAACAGCAAAAAATCACCGAGGAATACTACTCACCTGCATTCCTACTATATAAACGGTCCTAGAGAGTTGTGGTGGCTGTGCTGTGAGCTTCTGGCTGAACCGGAAATATCATAGGCTCGCACCAGTGTCGCAGGAGTTGTTTCAAGATAATATAGGGACGGGAACATATTTGGTGGGGGTCACAAAGTGATAACGACTGATATGAGCAATTGAGAGGCGCTGAAACACAATTTTCACAAAATTCATAGCGCGCTTCGCAGCAGTCGTCAGGAACTTATTTTGGGACATGATATAGGGGCTGGACGGTAACATATTTTGTGGGGGTCAAAAAGTGATAACGACAGATGAGGACTGATAATTACGATATGCGTACGAACGTAGAGATTACTCGAAACCAGATTGCAGATAATGCATTTCATTTCAATATCATTTCATTAGCGTTATAATTGTAAATTCAAACACCTTTCAACCGCTACACCTTCTAGAGTTCTTGAGGATGAATGGGATGCTCTAATAAATTTGATAGTGAATACTGGGCATTCCGTCTTGAGATTACCAAAAATTATTCGACCGCTAAATTTCCTCGATTCTCGATGCATGGTGGTTGTTTACATACATCACTTTAGCTGTGCACTTCACTGCGCTTATCAAACAGTGAGATACAGCCAAGATGGGCAACGGACAGTAATGCATTTAACGAAGCAGCTATAGTTAAGCGGTGAAACCCAAAGCTTCACCGATTGTCAGTTTTGTCAGAGGCTTCCGTGTCATGCGCGCGGTAGCGGGCGGAGCTAAACTGGTAAAAGGATAAAGCATTTGCCGTTGATCAATCCCTTTTGGGATGCGGCACGCATTCTACTTCCATTTGTACATTCGCAGTGGCATTTGAATGCGATGTGGCCTATACAATGACTTGCGGGGGCCAGCCGATGTTCAAGTCAGTGTTTTTATCCTCCCAGACAAGTCTGGTACCAATTAACCGACCCCGGAGGATGAGGCTTGGTTGGCCCGGGCGACTCACGACCCAGGAATTGATCCCGCTAATCGCCCGGTGACGCGACCACTGCACGCACCACTTACCGCCCCTGTACAAATAATAGGTGCGTGTAAGCATGAGCACACGTGATACAGAAAGGAAGGGTCCTAGAAGTCTCCGTGTACACACAACATCCTTGACACCAAAGGGAGCTTTTTGTTCGTGCACACTCGAAAAATAATGCGCTCCATAATAGTTCCACCCATCCCCTCCTAAAGTAACCGACCTTGTGCTCCGTAGCGCTTCAGGCTAACCGTAGTCATACTAAACATAAAAATGTTATTGCTACTGAATCTTCTCCCCGTGGTAAAAATTCGATCGAGCACATCGCTAAGTTACCGGCCCTAAGAATGGAAAATGTGTTGTTAAGATCTGACTAATACCTGATTTTGTTAATCAACAGAGATAAAAATTGTCACGTCCATATTGATGCGTATGAAAAATCAAGAGCATGACCAAGTTCGTGCGCAGCGGTCCTATCTGAAACAAGAGAAAATACATCAAGTATATCGTATATCAAAATGAAATAAGAAGTGGACCATTTTTCTTACACCTCACATAAGTAAAAGTATATAAAGTAGTTAAAAAAATATGGAGTTTTTGTACAGAAACCTAGCTGAAATCATACCGATTCACAGCCTTGACCCAGGGAGAGGTTTCGCACACCACCAAGTCTACCAACGAAAGACCAACATCCGTCTTCCGCAAATACTCGAATGCTGTCTTGCGCTGAAACTCCTACGTTAAAGGAATCCTGCTACCGTTTCCATTATCAAAGCTTTACCGAATTTGGTCGGTATGAAGTTGATACATGTATCAGACATCCATTGGTGTGCAGCTTTCTTGAATACGCCTTTGAACCTGGGCACCTGAATGCAACGAAGACAAGTTTTTCGTGAATTGACACAGCAAAAAAAATGTGATATCCATCTCTGACTTGCGCTATCGTCGAAGAAGTAAGAAACTCCCTTCGACCATCTTCTACCAGGATAGCCTCTTTCATACATAGTTTGCCGTTTCGAACGGGCTCCCATTATGTCCGCAGTAATTTGCTCCTGTTGCTCCCTAGATGTGATGTGATGAAAACTTGTATGCTTCTATTCTTTGCAGCGTGCGAAAATTTGAATATACAAACTTCGAAAGGACCATATCTCCCTTGGAAGAGTGCGCCTGCAATTTTGCTCATTATATTGATCTCTTCAATCGAGTCTCCCGTCGGTAAACTTTATCAATAGTTTTTCTTTTCAACATCTGAAACATGTCAAACACATCAATTAAGTATAGGGCAAAGCGTGTACTGCTGCCAACCTTCAGTCTTTCTACAAGCTCTTTTCTTTGCTCCTTTGACAAGTGAAGTTTCTGCAGTATCTTTTCCTTGTATCCGCTCAATTTTTTCCGGAAATCAACCATGCTGCTATTGAAAACCTGCAAAGATAATCAGCCAGTTACATTTGAAACATTTCTATGGATTGAAAGATATGGTACCTCCTTAATGCGATCCATAGTCTTTTTTATTTTTTGTTCACTTCGTGTTTGATGAGCCCTTTGAGGCTTTCGCCCACGAGCGACTTTTTGAGGTCGAACAAGTCAGCGCTCACGCATGCGGCCACAAGGTAACGTGAGTACAGTGATCCTCATTTTATAATGTAATGCTTGAAAACGTTAATAGGGACGAAAACGCTACAAGTGAGATAACCTGCAGCCATCCTCTTCTCCTCATATTTATGCGGTACTTCTAGACTTTAGAGTTGACATTGCGGGGAGCGATTCGATGTTGAGGCATATCGGGCAATACGAAAAAGGCTGCTCCAGACAAGCACGACCTCGACAAACAATTGCAATGCAATTGGAACATTGTTCAAAACTGTGCTATTCTTGGCCACATTGAATGAATTATCGGTGACGTACTTAAAATCATGAGATGAGATGAACACCACAGGTAACAGCTCTTTTCTGTGATGTAACCGTCGACATACCTTGAGCGGTTTCTTCAGCCACCAGGTTGCGGTGCTGAACTAGAGCGACCAAGGATTGGAAACCGCTTGTAGACGATCTAGGCGACCGCAAGGCTGGCCTCACTCCGCGAGAAGATTTTATGAAATGCAACTATTGGATCAAGGTTCATGGTTCTTAGAAAGCAATTATATTGAGTGAAAGTCTAGATTAAATTTCAAGGCGCCGGCCGGTAAAAAGATTGAAGTGAAATTTGTGGACTTCCCTGATGGAATTGCCGTTGATGGATGCACGTATGCAGGAGTTGAAATCAAAACACATGCCGATCAACGTCGCACTGGTTACAGGCATGTAATAATGTATATGTTAATAAAAATCTCTGTACTACTCAATAACTACTAGGGACCTCGTTTAGGTTCTGCTCAAAGGACGATGCCGGCACTGTACTCAAATCTCTTTCGAACCTTGTCCCCATTATAACCTACAACCGAATCTACGCTACAGTAACCAAGTTGGAGTATCGCTACGTCTAGAAGAATCCTCAGTATTCAGACTTGTGGTTTCCTCAAATAAACTGTCATAACTATAATTGTAAAGATTAAGAATAGAGAGGAAAACTTCTTTGCAAATCTATGACGCTATACATACAACCGCTCTGGCGATCTGATCGCCGTGGATGTATGCAAGTGTGACGCATCTATAGGCGTGACGTCCTTTACTTTAGCCCCAAAATCAGGTCACATGGATCTGCAGACAAAAAGGGGCGCACTCATACTATTAGGTTGGAACGATTGAAATGTCGCTTCCGTTTGTGCCTTTGTTTCTCAGCTTAAACACAATCTCTTAGGATGGGAGACCATTCATTCGAGAGAGCGATTCAGCACGCATATTGCGAAATCTTAGGCGCCACTGAGCGGATGTTCTTCGAGCCAAAACTTTTGCTTGAAGATGACTGACAATCCCACTCATTGTGTGCAAAACATTGAGCAGTAACACTTAGTCTCTGATGCACTTTCAGCTATGGTTTCAGCTCTTCCAAGACTGAGGTAAAGGACCTGGCGACGAAGATCGTGGATTTTGACCTCTAGCTCTAGATGACGGAGAAATAAAGAAAGCCAACGAATTGAGTCCTCGACAAACCGCACAAAACTTGCATGGAGATTCAGTTGTGTCAACAGAAAAATTTGAAAGTTCCTACGTGCGACTGTTAAGGCCTTTCAGGATAGAAAATGGGTTCGGCCTATTCTGAGCGACGCGAGAAGCTGCTCTAGGCTGCTACTCCATTTACCATTCTTATTGACTTGTTGGTTTCAGACATTTTTGTAGGGATAAAACTCCCTAAAGTCGTCGCCGATGTGGATAGAGGTGGTAGTCCGCCGCTGCAGAGTCATGCCAACGTTCACCGAATTGGGTCATTGAGACATTCGGCGCAAATGTCGTTGATCAACGCCATAAGAGTGTTATCACAATTATCCTACATCCTCTTAGAAAACGAAATCCTGCGAGCTACCCGATTCTGTTGGCGGTTGTTTATTCCATTAGCTGCCTTATCACTCACTTCATTTTGCGGACGGACAGACAGACATACATACATACATACATACAAACCGGCACACCAAATTAACGGTT